AAGATTTTCTATTATTGCATACTTTTAGGGGAATACAAAAAAAAAAATTGGTAATTAATAGACATTTTTCGGGAAAATTCATTTTTATAAAAGATCTCTGCTAATGGCAACTAAAGAGTGTAAAAATTTTAACTGAAGATAGATTGCTTAGGCAAACGGAACCGACGACGGAGGAACAGAATTAAACTAATCAGCATATTAGTTTTGACTTTTGTTTTGGAAATTGTCGATAATCGAAAAAAATTTTACTAAAATTTTTGTTTATTAAAGATGTCAACGTGTATGTATGTATAAATATAACAGGTAAAAATAACCTTCTAGAATAATGTATATTGATGCGGGCCCAAATATTGTTCGTTTTTTTTCTTGTTTTTAAATTCTTTTAAGTTTTTTTTATATTAAAATTTAGTTTTCGATTAAACTAAGCAGAAAATAACCGAATCAAAGATATGTAGGTACTTTTTTTTTGACATACCTTTACACATTTTTGTTCCCAAATATAAAATTAAAGGTGTACCTACAACATTATTCACCAACATTATTAAACCTATTCCAAATCTCTTTTGAAGTACGCTTTCGAAGTCTTAAGAGAAATAAAATTCTTTTCTATCTAATTAACATATACCTTAATAAGGTAATTTAACTAATATGATTTGGTTGACTTGTTAATAGTTAACTGTTATATTATGCATACACAAACATACATATTTGTTGTATAACGCGTCTTATCTTAAAAATCTTTGAATTTAGGTCTACTTATATATATAGGGTTTTCTTTTTTAATTTTTAAGCTCTTTACTTTGATGCAAGGTTGTTTTTTATTGTTTTAATTTTATTATTATTATTATGTATGTAAGTAGCTTAAAGCTCAATGACCTATCTAAAACTTACACAAATGAATTTTGAGAGAATTTCAAGGAAAAAATAGACAATAGACTTTACTGATTTGTTAATGATGCATTGAAAATTTTCCGAATTAAAAAAATCTGTTCTAAGAAATAATGTTTGTGATTTTTTAAAATCAAATCGGAAATTGGGCTTATGATAATAAAAATATTTTATAAATTGAATATTTTAAATTAAATTATAATTATAGTGCATTTCCTTTAGAATTTGTACATAAAACAGTTATTACCGCGAAATATGACGACATTTTATTTTTGTTGTTTGCAAACGCCTCTATAAATTTTATAAATTTGTATAACAATTTACTTTTTTTTGCAACTTCTTATGTATTTTACGTTGACAAAATGTTATCTTAAAATATGATTGATATAGGGCTCAATGCGGTCTGAGAGAAATGAATAGCCATGGGATATTATTATTCTTCTTATTAACAGTACAACTCTGTTCAAAACGGGGGACTTATCTGATACATTAGGGTACTTATGCGATACATTGGGGGATCTACACGGGGGACTATTTATGTGATTCATTGTTATTTATACAACCCGGCGGGGAGCCGATTTCTTAAATGTTTTCAATATGTAAATACTACGGAATTCATTCCAGTACTATGGAAATTCATACCAGTAAATTCATGGAAGTCTAACGCCTCCTTGGAATATTTCAAATTTTCGAGTTTAATTTTAGTTCAGTTGCCATCATTTTAATAACAGTTGCTGTACAAAATTATTATACATTGAGTAATCTTCGATACAAATATATTAATAAATTTATTAAGCATAAAAAATTCATTTAAAATCTCCTGAAAACAATATATGCAAGTATATAAATGCATTATATTTCCATTATTTTCTTCAGCTCTAACAATGTAATGTAAAAATTTGCAATATTATGCAACGCAACAGGGAAAAATAACGAAACAAAACTATCCCATATGGACTTCAACTACACCCAATTTGCATTTTAATCGTATGCATAAGCAAAAGAATTTATCTACTAATCTTTGCTACCTAAAAATCTCTAAAAGGCATTTGCCTATATATTCGTATGTATGTATACACATAAGTTTTTATATATACATATTTATTTCTAAGAATTCATAAAAGAAAAATTAACGTATTTTAAAATCAAAAATAATGTTTAGAAACAAAAAAAATTTTAATTTGGGACAACTCTTTTTTTATACTTCATCACTACCTAAATAATCATATGGTCAAGACAAAAACCCAAAACTATACAAAAAATAATAAAACAAAATCAACTTTACCAAATTTAAAAAAAGTTTTCCCTCTTTTAGCGGTTACTTTTTAGCGCGATTTTGTTCATGGTATTTTATTTTTTTTTAAATCAAAAATTTGTTTCTACAATTACAAGTTTATCAGCGCAATTATAATGGTATTATGAATTAGTCTTTTGATTTATGATTTTTCTTTTGCATTGAACTATCTCAGCCGACTCAATTTCATTGAAGTTATTAGAATTTAAAAAATTTCCTGAAACAAGCGAAATTCCTTTCTTTTTGGATTAGAATTTAATTTTTTTTTGGTTCGTTTGTATTTGTATACAAACATAGGCTTTTCTTATAATATTAATTTTGGGATAGGTGCACAAATTCACAAACCATATACTAAATATAATTAAAATCACTGATTTTTAATAAATAACAATAATTACGATATAAAATATACGATATTCTGGAGGAACCAATGAAAAAAATGATATACCTGATAGATCATAGCGACAAACTGTATAGAAAGATAATTGCCGTCTTGCAAGTAAAATTTAAGAAAACTGAACTAAGTAGTTAAATTTAAATGTTAATTTTAGGAAAAATTCAATTTATTATCCTTCTGTTATTACTTTTTCTTATTATTTAATTTCATTGCTTTTTTTTATTCATTCTGTTGTCATCTGGTTCCTTTTCAATATAAACAAACATTTCATTATAATTATAATATGGCCATAAACTTAATAATGATCGTTGTGTACATAAATGTATAACAGTATAAATTCGACTAAATTTAAGAGGATAGAAAATAAAAATTTTTTTTTTGTTATTGTCAGCTATTTTAAAAAGGAAATTTATTTTATTAAAATAAAGTAAGAAAACGGCTCTTTGCATACTGCACCAATTTGTTTCCGTGACAGCTGCTTATTTTTTTATTGTAATATTTTCCAATAAAAATTATAACAATTTTCTATTTATATGGTTGTCAGTATACCCACTTATAAAATTATTATAATCTGTACATAAATAAAATTATAAAATGGACAGTGGGTGAAAAATTAGAGGTAGAAAAAAAAACACAAAGCGTCATTATTTTGTTGACATAAAATTAGAATTGACAACTATAAGGGTATATTCAAATGAAATTATAGTTCATGTCATTATAATTGAAAAATTTGATTGTATAGGTTAAACGATAAACCAATTTTTAACATTTTGTGAATAAGTGAACAGCAGTAGATAAAGCTAAGTGCGAAAAGCATCTTCTGTCAAATGTTTTTGGCTGCATATACGATACCTCTGTGGTGAGTTATTGGGAGGAAAAAACGCAATATTTTCTTTTATATTCAAAAAAATTATGTACGTTACTGGTAAATAAACGTAAACATACCAACTTTATAAATGAATCCAGTTGAGTCTAACTGAAGGTTCCATTTAACTTCCACTAATTAAAGGAGTTTAAGGTAATTATGGACGAAGAAGAGGATTCAATTAAAATCAATAATAACTAAAGAAAATCCATTAACCCTCTCTTCTGCGAAATGCTGTATGCCACTTACTATTATGTATATAGAAACATATAAACGGCCATGGCCACACTGTTCAAAAAAAGAGATCATAATCTGCGACGACATTATTTATAGTGATAAAAATGACTGCTTGCTTTGATAACGATAATATTCTAAAATTTTGATTTTAAAATGGCGTATTATAAAATTATTAAAAATTTGTTATACCTGCCCAGATTACCATAGGAATAGAGAATTTTAATGGCACGAGTAACGATTATTCCCAACTATTACACAATATTAAAAACAAAAAAACATGGTAATAAAATAAAAATTATAAACTGTGATTTTATTCTTTAATTTGTTTTATGGCTGATTTTTTATACCTACTTTAAATAGAAATACGTTTTTATTTTAAAAGATGTTTGTTAATCAAAACTTGAGAAAAAATTAAATTCAAAGATTAAATGACAGTTAACATTACAAAAAAAATAAATATTTAATTGCAAATTGAAGATTTATTATTTTAGAGTAAAGAGCTGAGATAAAAAAAAAAAGAGTTCATTGAACTATCTATGAAAAAAAAAAGCCAAAGGTAAGCTACACAAAATTTCGTAGAATAATTTGAAATATTAGAAAACAAACTTCATAATTCGACAAGACAAATTTCGAGTAAATTTATTTTAAGGTATTGATTTGATTAAGAATTGATTTTATTAAGGATCATTGGCCCGCCTGGGAATTAACATGCTTATAGGTTGTAACAGTTTTTTCAAATACTTGACAGCATCTTCTTATCTTCACTCGTTCATTTTTTATACGTTTAGAAGAATTTACAAAATCCCCATACGAAGATTAAATAACATTTTATTAGTTTTATGATTTTAATTGGAACTGTTTAATTACTGTACAAAAACACTCTTATTTTTGAATATACAGACATATGTATGGATGTATGTGGAAATATCGAGATTTTAATAATTAATAATAATTATTTTTATGGTAATTATGTTGAAAATATTGAAATTACTCAAAATTTAATGTGCATTTTATATACAAAAACTTAATTTTATTTTGCCACTTAAAATTTTTTCTTAAAACTTTAAACCTGATATTTTTAATACTGGGGTAATTACTGAGACTCACACCATATGCTATGACTTGCTATGAAGAGTTGCCATTATTATTCATTTTTTTGTTTTTCCGAATAACTAATATAAAATAATTGCAATAATGAAAAAAAAAACTCATATTATTAAAAAATTTAATCCTTCAATTTAAATATTTAATTTTGTATAATATACGAGAAAATTATTATACTAATGGTTTAATTTTTTTTGTTTTTTTTTTATTTACAGTTTAATTAACAAGATTAGACACTATAATTTTGAAAATTAAAGTTTTAAATTAAAGGTTTTTATAAATAATTACAAAAATTCATGAAGGCATCATAGTTGTATGGAACATGAAAATTTTAGGGTAAGTGACTTTTGAAATTAATTTTTAATGTATGTTATGTTTGTAATTTTTCATGAATTCATTCGAAATAATATAAGATGTTTATAAAGTTTTATGGTATACTTAAATGATATGTTAATGTTAGTACTAATATATGGACACATGTCCAATATACATTAAAATTTTGAAAATAATACTACGAGTCTCAAATTCGAATTAAAACTATAGCTATCCCGGTCTAAGAATATTTTATAAAAGTATTGTAATAAACAAACGTGTTCGAGTTCGGACTCCAATCCGAAAACAAATCGGAGCGAACTCGAACATGAATTCGAAGTCGAACAAGAATCCGTGCTCGAACACAAATATAAACATGAGCATGAATCCGAACTCTGAACCGGTTTAAATAAAAATTTGATTTAAGGTCTCTTTTAAAAATTCAATATTATTATATACACAAGTTAAGTACAAGTGTACAAACCCATAGAAATCCAAATAAATGAAATTGGAACACCATGCGGCATACATTTAATACTGTATGATCATTTTTCTATGGTATAATTGTTTTCGCACCGAAAATTTTAAAATTTCGAAATTTTTCTCAAAACAATGAAAATTTTGAGAAATTATGTAAATAAACTACAATTTTCATATACGTATGTATATTTATTTATAATATTTACTATGTATCCAATTAAATCTTAATACAATTTTTAAATTATAATTAAAATTACAGTGAGTGTTTAAAGACCATCATTAAAACAATTTTCTGATTACAATTTTTCTATTAAAACAAACCGAAACGAAATTTATAAATAATTATACATTGCTGTTATATTATTTTTGTTGGTCAATAAGAAATATAGTTGCAATTTAAAAAACAAAAATGTATATGTTTAAATTTAGTATATACATACGTATATAATAAGTGTATATTTACTTATATATATTCCTCAGTAACTAAAAGAAATCACGATTACTTAATTTTTCTTAAATTTTTAATGTTTTCTGTTGTTTTAATTAGTTGACTTATAAAATAGTAATTAAATTCGAGAAACAAAATACATACAATATTATACTGGAAAGCCTTCAGAAACTTCGAAACTTTTTAAAATTTTAAAGGCGAAAAGTTTTTATTCAGGTATCGAGAAATTGGTTTATTTAATTTCCTGGATTCTCCTAGATGGTGTTTTAAATTAGCACCTTATTATTAGGGCCTGTTTTCATTATTATTTCTATAATAAACTATTAATACCAAAAACAATCTCATTCTAATTTCAAAAATTCCAACAAATTATACTAAAACACCTTTAACGATCTTAAAAACTATATATTCTTAGAATATCCACTATGTTACAAGTTTCTATGTATATATTCGCAGCACATGAATATCCGCTTTTAAAATACAACAAACATACATACATACATTTAGAAATAGCTCAACAAATATAAATAGACCTTGACATTTTGTTTGAATTTGAAATATTATAAAGAATTTTATATACATATATCCAAAAATATATATACACGCATATTACATTGAATGTCTACAAACGTCTAGGAATGCAATATGCACAACTTAAATACCGTTTTATTTTCGCAATAATATTAATGCTCTCGATAATACGCTTTTATTATTATTATTTCATTACATATATACAAAGTCTATATAAAAAAAAAACAAGAGAAAAAATTTAATAAAGGAAATAAGAAATGTTGATGAAGAAAGAAAGCGTGAAAGAAAGAAAAGAAAAGAAAAACTAATAGGAAGTTTATTTCAAAAGCATTGGAATGCGCATATTGCACAGCATGGCACACCATGATTCTGTGGTATCATTAAAAAGCATAGAACCTATCATTTCATTAAGTATTCGAAAATTTTTTTATAAAAACAATAAAGAAAAAAAAAACAAGATCTAAGAAAATAAATACAAAGAATTTTAATTTTTGCATTTTCACATTTTCCTTATTTTAATTAGTTAGTTGGTTAGAAGCTAGAAGGAAAATACTTACATAATATAAAATCTGATGAAAAAATCTAAATTAATGTAAGTCGATATAAGTATGTGTGTGTACGTATGCTTTAAGATCGCCAAAGAAAATAAATTTGCAGTCTGTCTGTGAACAAAAATAAGAAATATTAGTTGTCCCGGCACATTCTAAAGAAAAATAAAATAATTTACAAAAAAAATACATTTTTCCGCCATTTTTGTATTTTAATTGACAAATTACAAATGACATTTCAGAATTAAAAAGTCAAAAATAAAATGTACATCATATGTCAATAAAGAATATGTCGAATAACAAAAGATGTCAACTACTTTCAGTTAGTCATTTTTAACAAAATATTTACTCTAATCTGCAGTACGTCATTTAGTCTTAGTATTTCTCTTAGTATTTTAAATGGAATTTTTTATTTAAAAAATTATTGAACATAAAATACGCCGTGCCATATCTTTTAAGAACGATAATTTGCAAAAATCATAATAATATAAAAAAAAATTCGTAATTTTCCAAAGAATCGGGAATTTTTTTTTCTTTTGCCCGAACCGTACTTCACTTTTTATTGTTTTCTCTTTCATCTCATGTAGCTTTTCTTTTCTTTTTAAGTATTTCCTTTTGTTTTTTGTTTCTTAAGTTGCCCATCAGTAAGCTATCAAGATTTTTCATTGTCTAGTTATTAATTTTTACAATAGTTAAACTATTAGCCACAGTAATATTTGGCGCTTTATTTCATATTGGATTTATTTAAAATCTTTGCTTTTGCTGTAAATTTAAATTTTTATTTTTATTACAACTTTTGTTGTATAAATTTTGTTAAAAAAAAAAACATTTGTTTTAGCGGTCAAATTAGTTCATATTTAACTGTAAAACTATACTTAGTAATCATAAAAATTTTGCTACTGTATACTAGTAGTTAAATACAATACAAAATGGATTAAATTATAGGTGAGTTCAAATGTTACGATTGACCGAATTGACCGGATTTTTTTTTCTTCTTTTTTTATTCCAATTTTATCCATTTTTTGTATTTTATTCCATTTTACTCTCTTTTTTATTAATTGTTACAATCACACATATTCAAAAATGGTACGCGTTCATGAAAATTTTTCGGTCATTGTTCACTTAATATGACCAAGAATTACAAATAAGTATATACATACATACATACAAGTAAAAAACTCTAAATGAGGTTATTCTGGGTTTTCACTGCTCTTATATTTTTGCGTTTATAGTAAGCAATTTTGTTTATAAATTTATGGTGTCTGAGTTTTGACCAACTTTTACAAAAATTTTTTTTCATATTTTGATACAAAAATATTTCAACGTTGTTTTCACAAAATAATAAACTTTTGTTAATTATTTCGGGATTATATATAAGAAAAAAAAAATAAAAATTGATCTTTGCTACGCGAATTTGTACTTTACATGGCTTTGTGAATAAAATATAAAAATAAAACACTACCAAAGAAAAACTCCTTTGACAGTAATGGCCATACGGTTGTTTATGCATATAATTATTATTATCATTGATTTTAAGTATAATAAATTTGCAAATAAGTAAAATGTTAAGTGGGTACTACCATGCCAAGGTATTTCTTCATTCGTAATTCAAAGGATAATCACGGCTATTTGGAATAATCGAAATCGGCTTTTATATTTTCAACTTCTCTGTCGAACGAAATATTGTCTGCACAAACTGAACACATCTGACCGCATTTTGCACAAATTCTGTGGAGTAATTGACGATACTGCCAAACACATTCTAAATTGCTGGCCACCAGGAGGAAAAAATGTTTTGGGAAAGGCTTCTTAGCATGCATGACTTCAACCAAGAATATAAAAATGAACACATGGTGTTGAAATAAGCTATATGCCGTATTCAGGAAAAGAATAGTTTCTTTGTCTTACAATGTATAGTTATCGGATTATTTGTTCGTTCTTACGAAGTTGAATTTGTTTCATTCTATAGTCCTTCAATAATTATTGTGTATTACAGCAATAACCATCACGATTTCTGTGCGATCTTCAGATTATATCTTCAAAGATGTTTTTTTAATTAAATTGACCATTTCTTTGTTCAAATATTTGTTATAGTACTTGCGATGGTATCTTTGCCCTATTCAAATGACGTCAAACTGAAATATTATTGTTATATGCGTAAATATTATTGTTAACATTCGAGTACACAATATGATTTTCGCCGAACTGTGACATTTTTTTTCTTTTTATTCATAAGCATATACGTTACTTTTTTTTTCATTATTATTAGACGATTTACTCATTATTTTTGATTGTGTACTCACTCACTGTTATTATTGCAAATGACTTTATTTCCGGTTTAATAATGTTTGTGTTAAAATAAAAACATGTTTTACATTTTATTAATGTTGTAATATTATGTTTAAAATTTAACAAATAATTGTATATGAAAATTAAAGAGAAAAAAAGTGAATGCGTACAACGTACGTACATTTTGTGCATTAAATGTGAAAAGTTTATTGTTATGCTTTACTGAGTTAAGTAATGATACACCTCATTTACATATATTGTTTATTCCATATACACGTATACGTATGTATATCTATGGCAATAATATACGAAATTAACTTGCTGTTACGTAATTTTTGGTTATTAACTTCCATTCAATCTAACGGAATATTAAAGCTTTTAATAATATGTTTTGTACATATAGTATGTAAAAAAAAATATTTTACATTAAATGGAGGAGGTTATTGAACTGAATTTTAGTCAAATGCAGGAATATATGAAAATTATTAAAAAGGGTGTGATAAAATTAAATTTAAGCTACTAATGTAGCTTCATTATATAAGCTACATTTAAAATTGAATTCAGATAATTAATTTGAAATTTAGAGATTCTGACTAAATTTACATTGACCAAAGTGTTATATAATATTTTCAAATTTAAAAACAAAAGTTTTTGTGTCCTAGATTTTATTTAGAGCGTGTATGACAATAAAAATAAAATTACCCACAAAATAATCTATGAAAACCATA